TATTGCTGGATCAACAACTGAAGATGCACTGACGAACGTTCATTTCTTAGAAATATTCCGCAGCAAGAACCTCATCTGAGAAGTTTCTTTAAAGATACATTAGTGGAGTGAGTAATCGACTGAATTATCAAAGAATTCAAGCATCTCTGAAGGATCGATGAGTGTCTGCTTGTTCTGGCTGTTTTTCGTTCTGAAGTAAGCGAATACACTAACTGTTCTCGGGTTTGATGCCAGTTTTCAGGCATGCGATTCCAAGTAGCTGTATAACCCAACAGAAGTTCTTGTACATTTGACTCATATAAACACAGCCAACTACTTGCAGTGATATTTTGACGAATATTACTGATGCATTGTAAATGATCAGCTTGTTCCATCTACAAAAGAATTAGTTTGTGCTTGCTGAAAGGTGATCATTTTGGAAAGTAAAAATTCGAAATGTTTCACGGTGTCTACGTTATACATTAATTTGATTGTCTTTATCACCAAAATGACAGAAATTAGATTGTGAGATGGAGAAAGACGCGAATGATGCGTGAGGAAGTGAACGATAATCAGTTGAGAACGTACAGTGCGAGCGTGATTCTCATCGGTTTCAGGAAAAGTGAGTTTCCGACCCAAAGGAACATGAAACATCCGACGACATAGCCGAATGCAAACAACGTCACACGACTCGTGCCCGCAACAAAAACAACCGAAAGTGTCACCCAATAAAGATGTACGAATATTATTCGTTTCAATCGATCCAGCAAAGAATCCCTAAAACACCATCGACATGTTTCATCCAATCGTTCAATTCAAATCTTATCGTATCGTGCTATCGAATCGTTTACATTGCAAATTATGACTATTCTCCAAATTGCACGATCACGAACAGCGATGCAACGAACATTTTCCCAACAAAATCCGGCAATGTCGGCTCGTTCACTTCTTCAGCCTTATCATCCGAGTCAATTTTGAATAGCGCCTTACGACCGTGACGTGTGGAAGGGCCATCGACGATCGACTCATTTGTACCACCGATATAATCCTGCTCATTTGCTTCGATGTAAAACACGCCGAGTTGTTGACATATGAACAGAAGAAGGAAGAAATCCGCTGAAATATCAAAAATGAGCGAAATTTTAATGAATGCTGAATCAATTTCGAATTTCATATTCTTTTAAGAGGGCCAATTTGTGGAACGGAATTTTTTAAACTGTGGTTCCGATGTTTTGAATGACTCCTCTCGACAGAGGCAATGGTGACCTCAGAATGCTTTTCTAAGACATGAAAAATGCTTATGAATTTAGCGGGTTTACGTGTAATTCGACATCGCCAGTGGATATAAGGTGCATATCAAAGGGGTCAGTTTTAGGTGAAACTGTAGTGAAAGTGTTGAAATTTATCATTTGTTTTACTCGAACCCATCCTCACGTTCTCACCAATGAAGGTTCATTTAATGTTACCGTATAATTTGACTGGATTAGGACGAATGTTAAAATCGGGCAAAAACATCCATTCGATCATATTGTGGTC